GGGACGGGAAGGTGCGGGAAGGTGCGGGAAGGGAAGGGAAGGGAAGGGAAGGGAAGGGAAGGGAAGGGCCGCAGCACCTGGCCTCGTCCCCAGCCATCAGACTCAGCACGGCCTCCCTCCAGGTAGCTCAGACGAGGCCCGTGGCACTGGAGCGGGGGACAGCCGACTTGTCCCGGGTTATCCCGTGTTTGTCCCGGGGGGGCCCGGTCCGGCCCAATCGCCACGTGGGGGCGCGCGCGCTGCACTTTCCCCCGCGGGCCAATCAGCGCGCCTCGTACGCCGCTGCCGCGGGGCACGCCGGGATTTGTAGTCCCCACGGCGAGGCGGGACGGCGGAGCGGTGTTTACCGGTGGTTTTTCCGAGGTTCGGCGGGGGCGGCTCCCCCACTATTGTCTCCTCACGGACACTCGGGAACCTGCAGGGAGGTTTCCGCCATCCCGCAGCGCTGGTGAGGCGCAGCACCGCGGGGATCGGGCATCGGTGTCGCGTGAGGATGACGTCAGCGGGAGCGCGCGCGGGTGTCATGGCCGTGGGGGAGTTGTTGCCTTCCAAACCCCCTCCAGCACGGGAATGAGGGCGGGCGGTGCAAGGGCTGTGTAAAGAGGAGCACACATTGAGATGATTCCAGTGGAACCTGTGCCAAACACAAGATGTTGCAGCGGAAGAGTCAAATTGCATCTTAAGTTTTATAAGGAACAGGCATACACACTTTGAAAATTTGGTTCTTCTGAGAAATCACTGATACAGGGCATTTCCAGTGTTTATAAAAGTCCTGATTATCACAAATTTACAGGCTGGTTTGGGTTGGGAGGGACCTTGAAAACCATCACTTTGCCTGGGCAAAGACACTTTCCACTATGCCAGGTTTCTCCAAGTCCCATCCAACCTGGCCTTGGATACTTCCAGGGATGGGGCAGTGTGAAAAACGAGGTTCACATATTTTTTTATACAATTTAAAAGTTTAATAGAAAGACAATTAGGAGATAAAAATAAAGTATACAGATATGGCCGGGTGTCTCTGCATTCAGCCAAGAGAGCACACCTTACTAACAAAGGATTGTTCTTTAAAAACAGAACCTTACTGCATATTCATAAATTCTCATACATGATTCAAACATTCTTCTTAAGTTTTCTATGTTTCTTTGTTTAGTTTTTGGCTCGCCTCCTTCTCAATAAATCAATATTCTTGGCTCCACTGAGTTTTACATTCCCTGATAACAGAAATGCAATAAATTCCTCCCCTGGAGCTCTGGTCACTGCTGTCTTCATCTGGATAAGATAGTTTCAGAACACAGGGGGGTCTCTAACTATCTTTTTCAGCCTTTGGGTTATACAAACAAAAGTAGTTTTTGTTTTAATACCATGCCAAAGCTCAATATATATGTATATTATACTACTATTTCTAAGTTTCATCAATAACAGAAATAAAAGGAACTATATTAATATAACAAAGTTTTCTAACCGTATACATATAACATTCATTTTAATGTTTGCAAAAAGCCAACAATATAATATGTATCTATAACAGGCAGCCACAGCTTTCCGTGGAAATCCATTCCAGTGCCACACCACCCTCACAGGAAAGATTTTGTTTTTCCCAATATTCCGTCTAAACCCACCTTCTGACAGTTTGAAGCCATTCTCGCTTGTCCTGTCACTCCAGGCCCTTGTCCAAAGTCCCTCCCAGCTCTCCCTGAGCCCTTTTCATCACTGGAAGGGACTCTAATGTTTCCCTGGAGCCTTCCCTTCTTCAGGCTGGACATTCCCATCACCACCAACAAGCATTTCACAATTAAGCAGAAATAAAAACCTAATTATGTTGTGGGAAGGCAAACAAGGGCTTGTGGTCTAGAGGTAAAAAGAGAAAATGGAAAAATAATAAAAGTGTTGAAATCGTCAAGAAAGCAGGATGAGAATAGGTCTGAAAGATGTTGGGTGACAGCAGAACAGGCCATAAATATATGATAAAATATATATAAATTATATTCCTTTCTCTATGGAGGGGTGGCAGGGCTGGCAAACAAAGGAAGTATTTTCCTTGTACAAAAGCTTTTAGTTTTCCAAGTTTAAAATTAAATGTCACATCTGATTTTGGGATTTCTCACAAATATTTTGTGCATTTACTTTCCAGAGTAATTAATGGAAAGCAAGCCATGAGCATTGTTTTTAAATATTCAAACCCAAATATCTTTAGATTTTCCGAGCAATTCCCCTCACAATTCTTTGTTACCTGAAACTTGAATTTGAATTGGACTCAGTCTGCTAGAAAAGGAATTCTGGGTATTATTTTACCCTTCCAAGGAAAAGCACGTAATTTAACTCTAACTTTGCAAAAGTTAATGCACATTTCTGCTGATGCCAGAATAAATTCTAGGCAGGGCAGAGAAAGGAAGCCTGAATGAGCAGTATAAATTCCAAAATTTTAGGTGGTTACCCTTGAGTGTGATAACACAAATGTGTCTAAAATGGGATTAATAAACAACCAGATTTTTACCACCCCCAAAGGGACAAATTTCTTCTCAATATCCAATCTAATCCTTCCCCACTTCATCTTAAAGCCATTCAAATCCAAGTGTTTAAAGGGTGGCCACAGGGAGGACAAAGTCTCTTCACAAGGAGCCTTGATTCTATTAATCCATTTTTTTGTATAAGAATTAAAAAATAGGGAGGAAAGGGAAGAGAAAATAGTGTGAAAATTACACACCAATTGCAACTTTGTTTTGATTCCCAAAGTCCTGGGAATTTTAAAGCCAGAACCACAGCCCAGCCTGAATTTCACAAGTGGATGCTATTTTTAGAGGAGGAAAAGAAATAATTCACATCCTCTTTTATGTTGCATATTTGCATAACTGGCAGCACCACACCAAAAATAAAGGGGAAAATCTGCCCAGTTTGAGTGCAAGTAATTAAATCCACACATAAATAATATAGTTGGACTGTGCTTAAGGAAAACAAAAAACAAAAAAAGCTTTTTTTTTTCTTAAGGCATGTCAAGAATTACAGGAGTCCTTTATGTTTAGGAACAGATAAATGAAAATGGTCTCTCACTTCCCTTTATTATTTATTATTAACCAAATAATAGGTGAAATTTGATTTTCAGTGGCAAAAACAAAGTGGAAATACACAGAAGATCATTCATATGGGAATTTCATCGATAGAGTATTTTTCCTCGATTTATTTGGTGCTGTCTGTACTCCCACCTCCCGTTCCAACAGGGCAGCTCCACTTCTAGGAATATGAGAGGAGCTCTGTGGCGATGAGTCAGTCCAGGGATATTGATTTTCGAGAGCAGCCAAAAATAGACACTCGGGGAAAGGGGAGCAGAAACTGGGTGAATGTATTACGATCCTTCCCTGCTAAATTTTTCCAGTGCTGCCAAAGAAAATCACAGCTGTCTCCTTCCAGTGTTAGAGGTTACTGGGCATGAGGAAAATGAAAGAGGATATCTTGGTTTTGAGGAATATTTAGTGATCAGCACCTCGATTCATGACGGGATGATACAGCTGATGATAAAGAGTGAACCTCTAATGGACACTTCCAGAGATGAGGCAGCCACAGCTTCTCTGGGAAAGAACAAGAAAAGAAGGAACACATTCCTTGCTAAATTACCCAATAACTCTATCCCAGGTTTTCCTGTGAGCCTTGTTTGGTCCACTGGCAGCAAACGGCTCCTGGCAGTGGATCTTTTTGTTAACACATAGCTCTGGTGGGGGGAGAGGGAGGGAACTGTAGCAGAATTAGACTTAATAATCCAACCTTTCCACCTTCACATGCCAGGAGAGGCATCAGAATTTCCCATCTGGACACACACTGGAAATCAGGCTCTTGTTTGGCACCTTGGAATTTGGATGCTTCTTTTAAAAGGCATCAACAGCTTGGAATTGCACACAAGCTGATGCCCATCCTTAGGCATCTGTCCTCCCAGCTACATTTAGGTTCCATCACCTCTGAAAAAGGAGTATTCTTCAGTCCTGCAGGGAGCAGCCACCCAAGGCCCTTCATCTTCACAAGCCCTTGTAGACATCCTGAAGAAGACTCTAATGATCTTAAAACATTCTTAGGAAGCTCCTGGTGGACCTCCCTCATCCTTCTTACAAGTCCCTGAGAACAACTTCACAGGCACTGAGGAGAAGAAAACTCTCCTCCTTTTTAAAGAAAATGAATACTTCCAAAGCATTTAAGTTTGTTAGAACTTCTCCACACCTTGGTAGCTTTGCCAACACCTTTCCAGTCCTCCATTTGGTTGATACAGAAGTTATGGCAGGAATTTGAAGGATAAGTGATCCTTCATCATTATCCTTCACCAGCTGCGCTAGCAGCTGCCCCTGGACAACAACTTGTGGTTGGCAGAAGTCCCTCAGAACCTTGTGAAAGTGTCTGGAACATCCCAAGGACCACCCCCACACACCCCCCCCGAAGGGGCCATCAACAGCCTGGAACAGATTCCGGGTTCCAGGGGTTCTAGTCAGAAGTAAAGTTGTGCGTAAAGACAAATCCAACTCCTGTGCCCTGGTTGTGCTGCCATTCAGAGCCCTGGGAGAGCTGGAATAAGGACTTTTTTTTTGGCAGATGAATTGCTTCATAAATATCCTGCTCACATTTGTAATCTCGTTCACACTGATGAATTTTCTTGCATTTCAGACACCTTAAAGGTACATTTAATACGAGGTCCCATCACAGAATGAAAGTATTTAAAATTCAGAGCCAATAAAAGAGATTTTATTAAACCGATCTCATCAGAAACTTTGGGGGTCAATCAAGTGAGAATAATCTCAGCATTTTTATGGGATGGTTTATTATTTCTCTACAAAGAAGAGAGGTGGTGAAAAGAGGGGCGAGCTGCAGGAAGCAGCATCACCTCTCCTTCCATTAGGATTTGATGCAGCAAGGAAAAAAAATGGGAAAAAGGAAAAATATAGTAGCAAAAATGTCTCCAGAGATGGAACTCTGAGATTCCAGCAAACAACAGACACCCAAAAAGGAGAGAGAGAGAGAGATGAGAGAGATTTCAGGGCTGATCCATAAAATATAATTTAATATGTTTGGAGTTTAATTTTGAAAGGGATATAAACTGCTTTTATATGGTGTATCTGAGTGTGCCTGAATACCAATTCCCAGAATTACTACCCCAAAATATGCATACAGCACCTGCCTGCTCTCACCTCAGCTT